AGCTATTGGTGTATTTTTTTAATGACGGGATAGTAAACGCAACTTAACGACTGTTCAGAATTCTTTGCAACCAAAAGCCTATTTCTAATAATTAATTATGTTTTAGAATTTAGGTAATATTCCATTTGTTGTATTTAAATGCCAGTTTATCGAGCTTAAAGGCTGTAGGATGAAAATTCATAAATCGTACAAGTTAAGATGGAGATCCGTATTTGAAAAACAATTTAGTTCCTAAATAGAGCTTTCAAAGGAAATGATAGCAACAAATATTAAGCTGCTAACAATTTCATGAGATTTTCCAGAACTTTATATTTTAAGCATTTTAGATTTATTTTCTTTGAAATAAATTTATCAGGGTGTCTGGCGCCTGTAATAACCTCGCAAAATAATAAGTATTGCATCCATAAATATTTAAATTTAAGACGTTGTTTTTTCAAACAATGGATCTTCTTTGGCCGATGTGTATATACAAAAAGTTTAGTTTAAACGTTTTAGATTTATTTGCTTTGCATGAAACACCGATTTTGCAATAGTAAGTATTAATCATCATTTATCAGGGTGTCTGGCGTCTTTGAACTAACTCCGCAACAGAAGTATTACATCCATAGATATATAAATTTAGAGCGTTGTTTTTTTCAAACCATGGGTTTTCTGTTACCGAATTGTATATACAAGTATGTACAAAAGTTGGAGATGTGTATATATGAAAACAGTAGTTGTTGTGCCCAAAAGCTTTACTGAGTCTGTTAAATCCTAAATTTTATTTTAAAGCATGATTTTGTAATTTCGATCCCACTTTAAAAACTTCAACTTAACTTAATTTATATTGTGTTGCCATCTGTATTTGGTTATTTTTATTGTTCATGCTATTAAGATTGTCACTTTCACATTTTACATTACTTGGCACTACTTGGTTCTCAATTATACTCGTGCTCTTGCGTAGCGCATTTAGCGGCCCGTCAAGCCGAAACCAGTTGCATGCGTTGACCTGCCAGCGGCGGCACCGGCGTCGATTCGCGCTGCATGTCGCATTTGGTTGCCCTGCTGAAGTGCAAATACGAAACAAAAAAAGGCACTACCAAGGCAATCCGCTGTCTTCACCGCCACCAATGCCACTCCACCACCACCACCTCCACCACCACCCAGAGCAGTGCAAAAGCAACAACAAAAGTAGGAGAGCAGCGACTGCACATGTTTAGTTCGCTGGCGACTCGGGCGACTCTGAGCGGTTTTGCGCTGAAAGCTTCGGCGATCCGGCAACCAGTTTGATTGCAACGATCGTCCTTTGCGCTCGTGTGCACGCGCATCGTTGTCGGTTTTGGCTTTGGCTTTGGCGCAGCTCCAAATGATCTCGAGATTTTAAAATATTTGTGCACGGCCTGCACGGTCTCATCTCTCTCTCTCTCTTTATCTCTCTCTTTGCCTCTCTCCGATTGTCCAACTGATCTTGTTGCGGTTTTTGTTTTTGTTGCCAACTCGCGAACGTTGTTGTCGTAGTCGCGATCGGTTTTTTTTTTTTTTTTGTTGTTGTTGTATGTGTTTTGTGAACGCATTTGTCGCCTTGTGATAGTTCATTTTTATTTATTGTCAGTCCATAAGTTTTTCGCTTTTCCCAAAGCTACGCGAAATCTCATTAGCGGTGCCATAAAGGAAGTGAGACCCGATTGAATGCAAGTCGTTGCATATTTCCAGTCTTGTATGCACATATATATAGTTTTTATCTGTGAAAAATAAAACTATAATATACTCGTAAGTACATACAAGTAGTGCGCAAATGTTGACAGCACCGCCCCCGACTGTTGTTGGCCCTCTAAGAAATCAGTGTATAATTATCGCTCAGTGTGTGCTGCGCTCCGTCCACCTCTCTTGCACCCGCCTTCCCGCGATCATATCGCTCGGTTATGCAAGAAAAACGCGACTCAGATAAACATCTAGATTCCAGAGACTACAACTAAACTGCACGACTTCATACTACTAGAAGTATTCGTATACTGGTGCATAGTCGACGGCACGAGACTGTTTTTAAGCATTCGTGGTAAGTAAACATTGGCATTATGTTTATTTAGCTTAATGCTTGTCTCACCTGAAAAAGGCGGGCGCTAGCGGGTGGTAATTGCCTGTCATAATTACACATGTCTGATATACTAGTACATATACGGATATATAGGTATATACAAGTATATAGGTATATCTGCAGTACGTAAAGCGATAAGTTTAGGGACGTTTTGCCGATCGTCATCTGAGAAAAGTGCAGTAAGACACGATTTGCACTGCTTATCCAGGGATTACCATAAGTGTATTTACATTCTCTCTGAGCAGCCACAAGCCACATTTGCATGCGAGTTGGATGACCTCTGCGATATTTGTCCAAGTTATCCGCAGATGCAATTGTTTTTTTTTTTTAGAGACAATGCACAAATGCCGGTTTTGAATTAAGAGTAAAAGGAATTACCAGTAAGATAACTTTGAGAGAAAATCTCTTAAAAATTGCCAAGGACCGCAAATAAGGATTATTTTGTTTTACCAATATCATTTTTTTATGATAATCTATGCATTTTCAACTTAATTTAAAAATTTCAATTTTTTGTATTCTCTCAAAATAAAATGATTTTTGTATTAGCAGAGTAAATTTTCTGTAACTGTCCATCGTGGACAATTATTAAATTGGTTAAATAAACTTGACAATTAACTTATTTCATTTATGATGAGGTTGTATAGTAGTGCCATTCTCTCAAAATTTAATGATTAATTAGAGTTTTACTTTACAACTTAACTTTAAAACTCATAAAATAATGATTATTCTTTCAGTTTTTTTTTTCCAAAACTACGCTCAAGCTGTAATTTTGCATTAAAATAATTTTTTAATTACAATTTGTTTATCCCAAAACTGTACTATAGTTTGTCTTGGCTTATTGCTTAAGGATAGATATAAATTTTGTCCTTCTTCGCTATGAAAACGGCAGGGACAACTTCAGGTTTACTCTTGATAAAAACAATGAGACTTAAATAATAATCTCAACTTAATGAGTTTTTTTTCTTTTATTTTTTTGGTTGATGGGTGCATTAATGAAGATTTTGTGGAATTGTAATAGAACTAAATAATGATTATTAGTTATGTTGAAAAGAAAAGCTCAAAATTAATCATAATATTGTGAGCGAATGAGTAAAATTGAAAAATAAACATTATATTGTAATTTTTATAATAACACTTATAACAATTTATTACCTACATGGTAGGTACATAGGTACCTCCTACATGGATGTTGTAGGTACAAAATGAGACTAAAATCGGTTCATTATCGATTATAGTTTTCGGATGTCATATATAATTTGATGACATTACAACATAAAGCCATAATTTTTCAATAAACATTCAAGTTCTTGCTCAAATTTAAAACTTGTTTATGTGTTCACAACAATCAGCTCTTAATTGTAATCACATTTTAAGAAAAACTATTTCCAAAGTACCAACGCCAATAATGAATGTATACGACTTCAGAATTGTTAACGTAATAGGTGAATAGATAAATTACGTAATTACTGAGCCCGAAGAAATTCACAAGAACTACGCGTGCTCTTTCATTTAATGTGCTTATCAAAAACATGCACTATTTGATAAATGGACACAAACGAAATTTAAAATTTAATTTTAAATTTGTACAACAGTTTTTAATTTTAACGAATTGAGAGAACATAAAAAATTACATACATACGGGTATATACGATAAAATCGTCAATCACTCAATGGAACTGAACAAATTCCCTCTTTTTAAAATCAAAAAACTCATAATTATTCGATTGATATGGAATGTAGAAGAGGGCTGTATAATTCGAAATATCCAATGTCGTTTTGTTGATACATTTATTTATTGAGAACTTTGAAATATGTTAATATTACTAACTATAACATCGATTTTTAATTAATTCCAGTTTAGTTGTGTAGAAAAATCGAACTCCTTAACAAAACGGTGTTATTGTTGATGATTTCTTATATACTCGTGTAGGGGCCACGAGCCAAACTGTACAATGTTCCTCCCATTTCTGCGAAAAGTGTTTCCATCGAAACCATTACATCGTAATGATCGATTGGAATGATATGAAGCACGATTTAACTTAAAAACGGCATACTTTTAGTGGCCCGTTGACGGTATCACCTCAAATGCAATAATCAGCAGTAATCAATGGGAAATTAAGAGGGAAGGTAAATAAAATAAATGACAAATATAGTTAAAAATATCGTTATAATTTCTGTCGTAACAGAAAGTGAAAGAAAGAATCAAAGTATTCCCCCGTTATCGTAGATATAACATGTTATTCAGATAAGTTACATGAAAAATTGAAGAGCTACAATTAATTCATTAAATACCAATCAAATTTCCATCGCAATAAAAAATGAATTAAATTAATTAGTTTAAATAAAAATGGCTCTTAAGCTTTTAGCCTGATAAATTGAAAATATATTTAATTAAATATACATTTTTATTCTGTTGCTAAATCCGTAAACATTTAATTTTCTTGTTCAGAAAGCAGATTGCGGAACCTTGAAAGGAAAGACATAGTTTTCCTACACGGGCGACACTTACCCAATTACTTAAGTCAATTTTGAAAGTTTGTCAAGGTTGTTGGTTGTATGATATTTCTGTTTTTTGCCATTACACTCGTAGAGTTATATTTAGTCAGTAATTTTATCAAATGATATACAAGCTACTAACACATGTTGTCTGCGGCTGATAGCGTGAAAGAAGAAAAGAGGAAGAAATGTGTGCATGTGTGGTTCAAAAGAAATGGCACGCTGTGGCATCAATCGCGATAAAGATCTTGCTGACATTTCGATATCACATCCGAACTGCTACTTTGCTAATGGGAATATCAGTAATTTGGGAAAAATGAGGCAGGTATAAATAGGCCCAAATAATTTCAACATAAAACACTGTACCGTCCGACTGTTGTCGAAATTGAACCTACACTTTATTTTTCACGGAGTATAACACCCAGCGTCCATGCAAAAATTATACGGTAAACGCTTCGGAACATTACCCAGGACTTTTGTGCTTTAACTGCCATAACTATTCTTCACAGCTTTCGTTTTACTGCTGGTCGCAGTAGCTGCCAGCACCAGTAATGCTGCTGGCTATGACGACGATACCTTCGGCCAAATATTCTGCAGTAACAGGGAAAACGGATTGCGAACTCTCATACCGGGCAGCTGCTCAAAATTCGTCGAGTGCCAAAATGGTGTAGCCGTACAATATAGGTGCCCCAAGTACTACGACTTCAAGATAAGAAGTTGTGTTTCGTACAACCCCGGCTGTACCGAGACAATTTCCGAAGTTTCCGCTGTCCGCCCAGTTGCCACAGCAGATGCGACACCATGCGTTACAACTGCAACACCGGCAACAACACCATGTGTAACGACGGTGGCCCCAACAACGGTGACCACCCCATGTGCATCAACGGTGGCCACACCAGCAAGCACACCGTGCTCGACTGACGTAACAACAACTGCTACGACTTCAGCTACAACAGCAGCTACAACGACTTGCACCACAACAACTTCCACAACAACTTCTACCACAACTTCCACCACAACTTCCACCACAACTTCCACCACAACTTCCACCACAACTTCTACCACAACTTCGACCACAACTTCCACCACAACTTCTACGACAACTTCCACTACAACAACGACTTGCACCACAACAACTTCCACAACAACTTCCACAACAACTTCCACAACAACTTCTACCACAACTTCCACCACAACATCCACCACAACATCCACCACAACTTCGACCACAACTTCTACGACAACTTCCACTACAACGACGACTTGCACCACAACAACTTCCACAACAACTTCTACCACAACTTCCACCACAACATCCACCACAACTTCGACCACAACTTCTACGACAACTTCCACTACAACAACGACTTGCACCACAACAACTTCCACAACAACTTCCACCACGACATCCACCACAACTTCGACCACAACTTCTACGACAACTTCCACTACAACAACGACTTGCACCACAACAACTTCCACAACAACTTCCACCACGACTTCCACCACAACATCCACCACAACTTCGACCACAACTTCTACGACAACTTCCACTACAACAACGACTTGTACCACAACAACTTCCACCACAACATCCACCACAACTTCGACTACAACTTCGACTACAACTTCTACGACAACTTCTACTACAACAACGACTTGCACAACAACCACTTCCACCACGACTTCCACCACAACTTCCACCACGACTTCCACCACAACAACGACTTGCACTACAACTACTACCACGACAACAACTACAACGACTTGCACGACAACTACTACAACAACTACTTGCACCACAACGACTTGCGAAACAACAACGACCCCCTGCGAGACAACAACCACTCCATGTCAGACAGTTGTAACAACCTGTGGTTGCCAAACAGAAACCACACCGTGTCAAACAACCACAACCTGTGAAACAACCACAGTCTGTCAAACGACCACAGTCTGTCCACCAACCACTACCCCTTGTCCCAGCAGTGCAGCAGCTGGTGCAGCTGGTGCAGCGGCTCAATCAAACCGCTATCTTGCCCGTCCCCGGCCAAATCGTCCAATCGTGATTGAAGCAGGTGCTATGCATCAGACCCAACAATCCTTCTCCGGTATTACTACCCAAGCTACAGCCCTATGTCTCGGCAAGCCCAATGGTTTCCTAATGGCCTCACCTACTAGTTGCAATGACTACTATATCTGCCGTCACCAGCAGGCATTCTTGGTTAGCTGTGGCAAAAAATTCTTTAACGGACAGAAGGGTATTTGCGATTTACCTGAGAACACAAGCTGTGTTCAATCGAAATTGGATCGCCGCCTATCCCAGCCATGATCTTGTCCCTTTGCAAACACATGCGGAATTCTACCACGGCATAACCAACGATAAATCAAAATCTAAAAACAAAAATAATAAAAATAAAAAATGCAATTGCCTTAAAGAGGCCGAATAATTACTTCAAAACATAATTTGTTTTTATTAACATTAAAAAATGTGATAGAAGAGTAGTAAAATATATTTTTCTCACACCATTTTGTTGTGGTAGCAGGATTTAAAATTATCTACATATTCGTATCAATTATAATTATTTGGTAACATTCTTAATGAAAAATATAAATTTCTTAAAATTAGAAACATTTATTAAATAACAAATAAAATTGAAAATCCAGCATCACAAAATTTATGATAGATTTCGTAGAATATTAAATTTTCGCTCTTAGTTGATCGTTTTTATTTTATTATTAATTTTAACGGAGCTACAGGACTGACACAAATTTCCTTTAATAGTGGCCCCAAAGTGCGGAAATTGACGGACTAATTTTATTTATGGGAAATTAAATATTGCATTTGTTCCCTAATCGGACAAAAATAACATTATATTGCAAGTCTTTCTCAAGTACTGAAACATTTCGAAACACAATAGGTTATCAAAAGGGGATAAAATGTTAATCCATAAAAAATGCACACTTAGTATGTTAATTACAAACCATAAAATGATGCCCTAAAGTATAATTTAGGATCAAGAAAAGTAACGTACTGATTGTCCTTGCAAATGTGAGAGTACGCGTATATACCAGATTTCGGTTCCCAGTGCTACGTCTAACTAGATGATTAGCCAATTATAAATGCCAGTCGATGTGCTCTACAAATACAAATTAGCGGCGACATGCAAAGATAAGCAATCGGGTGCACAGAGTGCTGCATACGAGTACAACAACAGCTAATGGTTAACAACAATTTGGCGTGGCCTAGGCCGCTACTATAAGAGCACTGACTACAAAGATCGGACTGCATTATCACAATTTTTGTCACGCTCACTAAACGCGCTCTTGGAAAGTGCGCCTCTGCTCTTCAGCTCAGCTGTTTGAATGTCAATTTGTTAATTGCTCCTTTCTTTTTCTTTCTTTCTTTTTGCAATAATATTATTTGTACAATGCAATTATTGAAACAAAAAACTGCTTTTTTGATTAAGTCGTTCACTTGTGTGTTTCTTACTTTGTTGTCTTATCAAGCTGGTTGGAGGGAAAGACAAAGTCAGATGTTTGCGTTTGTTTAGCAAGCGAGTGCAAGTTCTAAATGGGTCACCATACCTATACATATATACATTATATACCCGTAGGTATGTACATACTCGTATTCAGATGTTTTAGTAGGCTTTGTGCAGAGCGATATGGCTGGCAGATAAGGCGTAACAGCGATCGCGTCGATTAAAAATGGGACATAACGTAATGAGGTACGGTTAGGCGCAAATTTAATTCTAACAAGTGTAAATTGTAAGTATAAAGATTAGCACTAGGTTCCATAAAGTAGTGGGCATACAATTAAGATTTAATGCGATAGTTTACATAATTAAGATACAAAAAAATTATATATTATATATATATTATATTATTATAGATAAAAATATATTCTGTCAAGGATTTTAATCAATATATATATAAATTTTTTTAGCAATTTTAGGTAGATATTCCTTTTAATTGTCTCATAAATTATGTTTGCTTCAAATAGAAGTAACTGTTTTCTACGTCTACATACAAGTATTTATCACTTTTTTCAAGTACCAACAATTCAAAGATTAGGGTGTTTTACAATCAATAGCCTCGATTTAGTTACATCTCAAATAATAATAATTGGCAAAGGTGCGCATTTATTCAAATATCATTGCAGAGTTATCCACTGTATATCACACATACGCCCCATTGCGTTGCAAAAAATAAAATAATTCAAGCAAATAAATAACCAAAACAAAACAGACAAATATCCACGAACACACAGTCAAAGAATATCGGAGAAATGTATACAAAAAGTGTGCACAAGCATAACGCAAACAAAATAAATAAAACAAAGTAACGAAAAACTTGCCGGCTTGCAGAAACCGGTAAATGCAACTCGAACTGGAACTTGCGGCGTCGAACATGTTGGCTGTGCAAGTTGGTCGCACACAACCCCCATGATATTATATGGCAACAAAGTGCAGCGCCAGCGGAAGCAGAGCCAGGGAGCTGCAACAACAATAACTACTACAACTATGAAATCAGCCAGCCAATGTGTGTGAGGCAGCCTATGTACAAATGCGTCAATGTGTGTGTGTGTGTGTGTGTGTGTGTGTGTGTGTGTGTATGTGTGTGTACAGCCCCAACTACATTTGTTTCTCCAAATGCAGGGCGCCAACGTCTACGCTGGCTGCGCTGCCAGCCATGACAGTGCAGCTTGCTCTTGCTCTCTCTCTTCTATCGTTGTCGCCGTCGTCGTCGTTTTCGTTTTGTTCCCTTTCGTTTGAACTGCAGTTCTGTGTTGGCGCAACAACAAACACAGGCAAACATCACACACATAGGCACACTCACTCACACACTCGCACACATAGTCGCGGAAATCGTGAACACTCGTTGCCTGAGTTCTTTGCATCCGCGTCTTGTGGCCCAATGTGAGTTGCCTTGCGCACGCCAAAGATTTCAGATCGAAAGCTCAGCTCGCTGCTACGCGTTTCCGCGACAAAATTCGTCGAATTCATTTATTTTCAACATTTTACGATCTGTGCGATTGTTCCATATCCATGTTATTTTTTCACATTCGTTAAGTTGGGCATACTATTTAACAGTTACACTGAAGAATACTTTATCTACTTAAACGATACATTTCGAATCGGCATATTGTTGTGTTTGCTGTGCGCGCGTTTTGCCGGCGGCTTTCTTCAAACGCGATCGCGCAGAAAATGTTTGTTCAGCCAAAAATTATACTTTGTTAAAAACAGTGCGCTAAAGTGGAAAGTTAAATAAAAAATTAAATAAACAAATAGTAAATAAATGAAATAAAATGTATTATAAGTACTGGCAAAACAATTGAAATGCAAATTGAAAATAAAGCTACCATAAAAATAATGCTGTGTGCTATAAAAGGAGTTTTTCAAGATATTAGAACACAAAGAAAAATATATATCTACGAAAATTAAAAACAATTGTAAATATAATCACACTTAACAATTAAATATAAATACAGTATAAAAATATTCAATTCCACATTTTAAAAAAATTAATATTCATAAGATTATCCACAAGAACTAAGCGTTTGCATTTTACATTTGAAAAAATAACGTTACAATAAATAATCCGTACACATAATGTCTTCAAATACAAATAATTAACTACAATTTAGAAGCGACAACTTTTTTGCCGATATTCATTGCTGTTGTTGTTGGTGTAGTTTGTCAATATATTGCACAAGGTAAATAAAACATGCGTCAGTTTTCTTATGCAAGTCATGAACCTATTGAAAATGTCAATGCAATATATAATCTATACGGGCCTGCCTACGAAATGCCGTTCTGGATTCTTTGTTGCACAAATAAATTAATAATTTAAGTACAAACTGAAAGGTGGCTTATCTTAAATGAGAGCACTTTTAAATGCAAAGGCCGATTCATAATTTGCAATAGAACTCTTAATACAAACAAGTTTATCATTAAAGACACGCCTTTTTGAAGTTTATTTTACATTTTTATTTTGATAAAGCAACGAATATCAATATTGTTCTTTTTTACACAAATCTTAATATTTGTGTGTAAAAATTTTTTAATTATACAAAAAATGAAAACTATGTTTTTCTCCAAGCCGCAGATCTGTAAAAGAAAGCTGGCTCTAAAAAAATGTTTCGTCCAACACTTTGATATCTAAAAAACTCCAATTGGCCTAAATGAAGTTATGTTTGTGTTAAAACTATCAGAATTCTCTAAAATGTTTTTATTCCGTTTAAGTTTTCTATTTAGGTGGCCCAAATTTAAGCTCCCACATTGGTTTATAATTTTGATTAATAATTATTTCTTCTGGGCGAAGAAAGCAGACATAAGTGGTGTCTCATTCAAGTGGCAAAGTGTTCTCTCTCCCCAGCCTTATCGCTCGAGCTGAGGGGTATATTTCATTTCTAACGATGTAATTCTACTCGTTCATTACATGACTTTCAAACAACAACAACAACGACAAAATGCAGTTCCAGCTGCATATAATCGTAAATCAACTACTAAATATTTTGTTTAAAATGCAAATAACTTCAATTTGTACGATTTTACGACCTCAAAACAAAGGTTAAAATCTTGCATAAAGGCACTGCAAAAAATACATACTATTCTATATGTAAATGTATGAAAACTTTTCATGTAACAATTCAGAAATGCATTTCATTTCTGAAATGGAAGTTATTTCAAACACATTTCATTTATATTGTTCATGTTTGTAGCATGGACACGTGGGATCGATACATATTATTCAGCCACACCCTAAAATTGTAACAACTATCTATAAATCTGCAACGCTTATATAAATCGGTATGCGCTGTATTTTATACCCTATCGCCTATTAAATATGTGAGTGACAGTCCGTCTGTCTCAATGAGAAGCTTAATTTTTAAAACTTTAACCAACTATTTATCGGACAATTACAATTAGAAAGGGAGTGCAAAAACTTGTAAGAATTCTATTAATCTCTCTTGACTAAACAATTTGCGCTGGAAAGGCATTGTACCCTAAATGATTGCCACAACTAGATATAGCGTATTCCATGTTTGAATAAACTACTGATATATGTATTTTTGTTGGCCTTTATCTCTAATTATGTAAAAGCTACAAAAAATTCTAGATTTTCAGCATTACAATACGATTTCAATTTTCAACAATTTCAAATTGTTTAATTATTGGTTTAAAAGAACATGCAATGTTCGCTAAACTATAATTTAATTCACAATTTAGCGCATATTAAACAAATAAATATATGTTTATAAAGCTTACACACACACGCACACATAGAAAAAAGTGCGTGAAAATTCGTTGCAAAATATGGCGAACAAGTACAATTTGTTTGGCAGAGGAAATCGAGCGTGTGAAAAACCGGGCAAACCGGCAGCTAAAACAATAAGCAAGAGTTGCACATTTGCAGCCTTCTTGTAATTTCTTTAATTTTTGTATAAAATTTATTGCATGCAAAGCGATTACATCAGCGTCTGATGGGCCAACACTTGTCGGGGCTATTGAAACAAAATGTTTTGGGTTCGAATTGTACAAGGAACAGTGGCTACTTGTTGTACTATATACTCGAACAATCACGCATATACACGTACTCGTATGTACAACACATAGTTTTATACAAATGTATATACATACTCGCTCATTTGTATTTAAATGAACAGCACAACTATAAAATCGGCAGAACGAATTCGAAAGGCGTCGCTGAATTCTTGAAAATTTTTACATTTGTGCAATTATACGAGTATTTAATTAAAAACAAAATTATAAAAATTATAAAATATTTGTTGGAAAAAATTGTACTCCCTCCAAATCAATAAAAGTTTGAAATATTATATAAAAAAAAGGGCTTTGGAGAAAAAGTCCCTTCAAACTTAAGGGAGGTGTCCGATTTATTCTGCTTGTTTATAGAATTGTATTTAATGTTAAATTCTTTTTTACCTGTATTTATTCATTTATTTTTTCTTTGCAGATAATGCTTCAACTTCAAAAAATTAATACATAGTTATGCAAAGAAATTAAATTAATAATTCAACTTAACGAAGTGCTTTTCACACAAGAATTCATAACTATTTAGTAATCCAGTAATTAATTAAACATCGCAAATATTCAAAATAAAACATATTTGAAAAGCTGGAAACAATTGAAAGCTTTCCAAGACTTAAACCGCAATTGAACCTAAAGAAGCTTGGTCCACAGAACTTGGAAATCTGCAATGCTTTTTGGATAGCTGATCAAATACTATAAATCATAGAAATACTTGTAACTTAAACGGACTTTCCTAATATCTGTGTGTTGTACGATCATCTAAAATTTTCTGCGCTCTCGCGCCTTACATCCAGTTGAATGGTTTCTGAGGACAATTGGAACAGCGACACCATGTCCGACTCGGACATGATCGACACAAAGAACGACGTGTGCGGCGGTGCATCCAGTTCCAGCGGCAGCTCCATCTCCCCCCGCACACCCCCCAATTGTGCACGCTGCCGCAATCACGGCCTCAAGATCACGCTCAAGGGCCACAAGCGTTATTGCAAATATCGGTATTGCACTTGCGAGAAATGTCGCCTCACCGCCGATCGCCAGAGAGTTATGGCGCTGCAGACAGCGCTGCGTCGCGCCCAGGCGCAGGATGAGCAGCGGGCTCTGCACATGCATGAGGTGCCTCCGGTGGGCACAAGTACGCTGCTCAGCCATCATCACACACACCATCATGGCCACCATCCACATCATGTTGGCCATGTCGGGTCGCATCCTCACCATCATGGCGCCCATGTCTTGAATCATCAGCAGGCAGCAGCGGTGGCGCCACAGCAGGCGCCGGCGCAACATCTGACCGCTGCTGGCCACAACGGTGTGGCTGCCGCCAGTCTGGCCACTCTACATGGCCACGCCCATCAATCGGTGCTGCACGGACACTCAACGCATTCGCATGCAGCGGCCGCAGCTGCAGCGGCTGCAGTGCAGCAACAGCAGCAGCAGCAGCAGCAACAACAACAACAACAACAGCATCATCACCACCAACAACAGCACCAGCAGCCACAGCAGCAACACACAGCCTTGCGTTCGCCACCACACAGCGATGCCGGTGGAGCCACCTCCAGCACCTCTGCGGCCAGCGCCAGCGCCAGCGCAGCCGTGGCCAGCAGCTCCAGCAATGGCAGCGTCAGTGGCGCCACTGCTGGTGTAATTACCAGTGCCGATCACCACATGTCCACGGTGCCAACGCCTGCACAGTCGCTGGAGGGATCCTGCGACTCATCCTCGCCATCGCCATCGTCCACATCGGGCGCCGTTTTGCCGATCTCAGTGTCCGTCAATCGCAAGAATGGCGCAAATATGTCGTTAGGTGAGTAGAAATGTGCTCCTTAATCACCCAAGACAAGTGGATATATAGCAAAATATGATATACTTGTATGATTAGATATATTTTTGAAAACCCCTTTCCTTCTAGTTCTCACATACACAGTTCTTTAATCTTTTCAATTAGTCTGACAACACCAGTTTACAGCATTTCCGGACCCGATGCTATTAAACTGATTTTGTTCAGTTAAATGTAAAATAAAACCTCAAAGCTTAAATTAAATATTAATACATGCTTAATTAAAATTTAATTTAATTTTGTTTCTCGAACAATGTTAATATTCCTTATTTTTTTGAATGATATACTTTTCATGAAAAAGGATGGGATTCCCGCTGAATGATTTGTTTCAAATGAGCCCTCGTTCCTCATAATATTAGGGCTTATCGGTTTTGCAGGAATATTTGTAGATTTTGGTACGTTAAGGCGCTGTAAACTTTTATTAAACATTTTCTGTTCATCTCTCATTGTTCTCTCGCCCTAAACTTTTCTGGAACCAAATTCTAAAATGCCGGTACAGAACTTTTCGAGTTTTTAAATTACGAACAAATGAACATTCGATTATTATTCATTTATTTATAATATAATTAGCTCTTTTTAATGAGCATTGCTTTTTTTCATCAAAATCAGCTGGCAACCCAAAAAGTTATTTTTTTAATCAAAGTTCTGAATGCTTCAAAATATATGAAAAAAGGCGAAAAAAATTCGATAATTGGCGCATAACATCATAATTTGAATTCAGAGTTCAGTGTATTTTCAGACAATTCTTAGAAATCTCAATAACACATTTAAACCCTAGTCCTATAATGAACTGTAGTAATAATTGAATAGATCGAAAAGTTACTCCTACCACCATATCCCTAAACTAACTGAACACATTTCCTATGGTTCACATCAATATCAAAGGCATTAAGATGTAGGTTTTTCTCTAGATTTATAATTTTAATTTATCTTTGTCATCACGTAGAATAAATTTATTGAAATATTCCAAAAAGTCGCCTTACGATCTAAAAGTTTTCTCCAGATTTCAACAGCAATAATGGTTTGAAAATATTCAAAGCTGTCAGTTCTCATTTAATCGCAATTACTTGTAACTTGCCATTTTTCTTAGCGTCTGCTTTGATTTCTGCGCCTCTCTTACAATCTTCTTCGACTTTGCTGCCTTACAGGACTTTTTCCGCTCTGCCACCTTAATGGTGGACATTATTTGCCTTTTAATTGGCCGCCTCACAGCTGGCATGGCTGGGGTACTTTTGGAAGTGATATTGCGCTTCGATTGCCTCTTTGCTTTTATCCGCCATAAAGCATCCATCTCTTGGGTTAAATAGCGTCCCATATTGTTGCGTACAATCAGTCCCAGTTGCTCGGAAGCCTTAATCGCAGCATCCAGTTCGTCGTATAGCGGCTCGAGTTCCTCGAAAGGACACCGCTCTTTCTGCGCTATACAAGTCATAATCTGCAGAGCCGACATGGGCGTATTACACTCGCTTATTGTGGCGAGTATTTGAAAATGATTTGGGTCCATTTCGGATGAAAAAAAAAACGATGTTTTAAATGAAAGTATGGAATAAACGATGGCAACTAATTTAAAAAAAAAAAATTCAGTTCGACAATTATTTCTAAAGTTACTATTCCATCGAAATGCAAAATAATACAAATGTGTTCAGCTTTTTAATACAATATGTATTCTAATAGAATTGCATTTCCAAACAATTTAGCAACATTGCTTAATTTGTTGGTTTTTATTTTAAAAATAATTTTATGCATAACAACGTTTTTTTCATCTCTGGAATAATTTAGAAATTCATGTTGTCCTTATGTAAGAGAATTTAATTTCAAAATATTTATATCCAACTCAAATACGTGTCTTAAGTTATCAGATTATTATTATTCAGATTCCTAGTTATAGAAAGAAAACATTCTTCAATTCTACCTCTTTTTACATTAATCTAAAAGATTATATAAAATCATTTTACTATATGTGCACAAACATATATATTAAACAACATCTTGAATGAACGATATTACAGCTAAAACCAGGGATATCCTCTACGTGGTTTAAGAATATGAGTCCTATATTGTTTTTTCGTCACACCTTTCCCGAACTGATAAACCTTTGCTGCCTTATTTAGACGTAATAGCCATTTCTACGGCTCCCTCTTTGTTGTAGAACTCTGATTTCCAGTTCAATAAAAAGATGATGTGGCAGCCCTTTGGAAGAGCTCTCATCAGTACAAAACCATACGATCTGCATGTTATCTAGAATTCAATCAATACAAGGATCTTTCGACCGCTTGGTTTTTTTTAATCAACGCATACGTTCCAAAAGGCCTGTGTTTTAATTGTAACTGTTAACGATCAAAGGGATAATAAATGATATAACCATAAATACAAGTAGACTGCTTGACCTAGTCTTTAGGATGTGCACTATTTCGAACTAACAAGAATCGTGGAAACTCTCATCTCACTGTAAACTGTCGAAGAAATCCCAACATATTTATTTGAAGGCCCTCTTTATTAAAAGTGTCTGCCCATTTTACACATTTTTGACATGATAGCCCCGGTTTTGGGGCAAGATATGATACCTGCATCAAGATTATGATCAAAGTTGATGAAAAAGTAGCAGGTACATAAATTAAAGTTTCTCACGTCTCTGCTTAGCACAAATTGTTGAGCATAATTGTAGGCTATAGTTTGGACACGAACGACGTTACGAACTTTAATAGAGTTGTTCTGGCTTCTAACATAAGTAGCTGCCAACAACGGCAAAGAGCCTAATGGCATAAACAGCATAAGAATTGATTATAATTTGTGTGGCCTGAAAATAAATTACAATAATCAGACAACGCTGTCATATTTTAACACCACGAAGGCGCAGCCCGACGAGCGGCATGCCTTGGGTTAATGCACAAATGAAATAAATCAATTAGTAATTGCTCAATGGGGCGGACAGAACGACCGAGGCACAGACAATTGCAACGCGCAGCGATCGCGAGCCAACAACTTGCAGACACGTGTGGCCAGCAGACGAAGACGAAGACCAAGACGCACTGAAATTAGCGGCCACGAAAATAGCGCGGACTAAATTGGCGGAAAAGCGAGAAAACTTAGGCACAAGCGACAATCAAAAGCACACACACACACCCATGCACACACATATAGGAGCACTCAACCTTGATGGGCCGTGACCACTCATAGGCTTGTCATACATTTGTGTTTGCAACTACAGTTGTACCTCTATAAAAGGAATATGTTTGCGATTCAGAAATCAAACTTATTTTGTTAGAGAATGGCGCGAATCGGAAAGCCATTCTTAAAATTATATAATTTGAAATGAAAATTCTATTTTATATTTGTTTTTCTCATATTTGAAGAAACTCATCTATATCTGAACATTTCCCTTACTATCAAAAATAACCGCAAGAGCGCTATACACTTATATATTCCATCTCTTTTCAAAATGCAAGCCATAAAATATTATTCGATTGAATTTCAAAGAATTTTTATTGATTTATTTATTATTATTATTATTTTATATGTATTTCGAAAATACTGTAATTTATTTGAAACCCCAAAACTATTTGGTGAATATTTAAAAGCTACTTATTTATAATATGATTTCGATGATTTTAAATTTTATTTTCCTACAAACGAATTTTTGCAAGGAATGCGATGATCATTAAGGAAATACACAGAATTAATGATGGGGGGTTTCAATTTTCGAAACATTAAATATTTGCATTTATAATAAGCCAAAGGCCATTTGGCTCTATAGCTATAGACCACTATAATTTCCGTGTGATAAATGCAAGAAAATAAATTGTTCCCTTTTAAATAAAAATGAAACAATGCAGTTCAAAAGTTAAAAATAAATTTCAAAAACTGAAAATAATAAATTACCTGCAATAATATTAGGGCAGTCTCTTCGTTTTACAAATTGCTGCTCGTAAATAATTTGATTATATTATCAGTTCTCCTAACTCATACAGATTTTCTTGTCGCAGTGTTAAATTAATCAGATCTTTTAGCAGAGTTTTCTAATTAATATTTAAACACTTTTTTATACTAAGCATCTCTTTTAGATTCTTGGAATACTAATTTATTCCCAAATCATTAAAATGGCTTCACTTAAGCTCTCAAAACTTAACCCAAAAGCCTTCGAAATTAATATATAACACCATTATGATAGGTGTTATTAATTATATACGAGCAAGGGCGTACGCAGCTTTTACAAAAAAAAGGGGGGAGTATAACTTTTAAAAAAGTTATAAATATCTATTGGCTTGAACACGAAAGTGGAACCCAAGTAGAATTTTAATAAGAACTTCAATGCTGCATTCCATGGGAATCAGAAACATAAAATTCGTGAATAAAACTCAAATGACTTCCCATAGTTGTTCTTTAGAAAGGATTATCTTCATAACTACCCTACTACTGGTTCCCTGCGAAGTCTCGCTCTATCTCTCTCTCTCTCCCTCCCTCTCTCTCTGTCTCTGTCTCTCTGTCTGTTTGTATGTATGAATAGCAAGCTAATGAATACGAGTATATATGCTTGCTTGGACTTAGGCCTGTCATGTCTTTGCATGGCCAACTGGCAATGCGACAACAACAATAATAATAACAACAACTTGGCTAAGGCAATGCCAGAACTGCCACTTAGCCAAGTCAACTGCTAAACGCTAAAATGTTGCAACATAGTTGCGTGCAACCGCCAAGGGGTGACGAAGAAAATACAAAACCCGATGCGTCTGCCATTTCGCGATACGACCAGACGGGTTAGACCCATTCAGCAACACAGACGACACAGAAACGAAGCAGCCGGCTAGACCAGCTACCTACCTATGTATCTATCTACTAGCTTCTATAGTGCCCCTCCATCTGATCATGAGCAGGCGTAGCGGCGATTACGTCGCTGGCTATATTTGGGGGCAACAACAGGGGCGGAGAGGTGGCGAGAGGTGGTTGGAAAAGCGACCACGGCACGAGTT